ACAGAGGTGCCTGCCCAGGGTCGGAGTGCACGTGAGTGTGGTGTATATTGACACACTGTGTACATGAGTGTGTGAGGCTGTGCTTATGTGAGTATATGTGGGGGGGTGAGCATATACTATGTGAGTGTGCAAGTGTGAGTATATGTCTGCATGTGTACATATATTGTGTGCAAGAGTGTGTATATGTGTGCGCATAGGTATACAGGTATGCACGTGTATATACACTGTGCAGGGATGTGTCTGTGTGTCTGTGTTATGTCTATGTAGTATGTGTGAGCGTATGTGTAATGGGTGAGGTATTGTGGACGGTACCTGCATGCACCTGTGTGTGTGGTGTAGGTGTACACGAGTGTGTGTATGTCATATGCATGTGAATTTGTGTGTAGGACGCAAGTGCATGTGTCTGTATGTATATGTGCATGTGAGTGTAGGTGGCTATGTGAGTGTGCACACGTGTTTGTGAGTGTGGTAGTTGTGAATGTGTCTAAATGTACATGGCTGTGTGACTATGTACATGTGTGGGCGCGTTTCAAAGTGTGTGTGGCTGTGTGAGTGTGTAGGTGTGGTGTGTATATGCCTGTGTGAATTGAAGTGGCTATATGAGTGTGTACATATGCGAGTGTGTATGTATGTGTGAGTGCGGGTGGTTTGTGAGTGTGCATGTGTGTTGACAAACCTCCTATCTTGGGCTGTCAGCTCTGCCCCAGTCTCCCGTGTGGCCCTGAGGGAACCTGGGAGGGGAGAACACGGGCCCGTTCATGTCTGCAGGGTCCAAGGCTCTGGGCGAGGACTCAGTCATGGATGGGAGGGGCCTGGGTCCCTGCATCTGCCCCCTGTGTGGGTAGAGGCACAGGTGCATTATGGGCTGGAGTTTCAGGTCCATGGTCTGTTTACTTTGGAATTGTCTTCAATTCCCACAGAGCGGGACCCCTGCCCTCAGTGGTCAGTCAGCCGGCACGTCTCCCTGCTCCCCTTGACTGGCCTCTGTGGCCAAGGATGGCCCAGTCGGACACTCAGCTCCCCCCGGGCCCCCATGCATTCTGCTTGCTTACAATCACCGTGTGTGGGTGGCACTAATATTTATGCAGGTACCTTTACCCACCCCCTGGGGGTGAGTCTACAACATTCCCCCGACGGGGTGACAACCACGGAGCCCTCTTACCCATGAGGATCATGGGAAACATGTGTGACTCGCTGACCTTGGGTGGTTTCCGACCCATGGGGCCGGAGGACAGTGTCAAGCTGCCCCGTGGGCTTACGAGGTTGTCAGTCCTGATGGAAGCCGGCTGCCTCGCTCCTCCTCAGAGCAGCGGGGGCTTCCAACCCTGAGCTTTAAGCACCGCTGCACCACGAGGCTCTGGATAACTTCTATAAGCCCTCCAAACAAAACCCGCTGCTATCGCATTGACTCTAATTCACTGCGCCTGTGGAGGGCCGAGCCAAAATGCTTCACGGGCGTTTCCGAGGCTGTCAGTCCTGACGGAAGCCAGCTGCCTCGTCCTTCCCCCTGGAGCAGCTGGAGGATTCCAGTCCCAGCTCCGTGCTGACCCCGCAGCCCCACCTGCGCCCGCATCCTCCAGGCACACCACCCCCCGGCCAGCAAGTCTGCTCCGACTCACATGACTCACATCCACGCTACACCAAGGGTGGCGCAGTGGGTGGCGTGTTGGGC